TCCAGATCTTTTATAGTATTCCTGTCTTGTCTCTCCCTGCATACCGTTTACCACATAATCCAACCTACCACAATTAACATTACCATGTTGGGTAGTAATAGGCAGCCCTGTCTCACTCCTGTATTCATTTCAGAGATAGGCTTAATTGAGTCTCCCGTTGGGGATCACAATCATTAATATTATTTCCTTTAATTCCTAGAGGAACATAGGGCTTCAGCCACACCACACGTCTCCCTTGCGTTCTGTTCTCTGCTACAGTCTTCACCTGGCTCCAAGTCTACCCACACGCTTTCATCTTCTCTTCACATGACCTCCTCCAAGTCACCCACACTCGCACTGACGACCAACTCGCCGCTTCCCATCCTGCCGGGTTCCACTCGAGAAATGGCTTGTCTAGTGATGTCAGTCACTTGATGGCTTCCTCAGAGTATGGCCAATCCATCTCCATTTCTTCCTGCCTGTTTGTTTCACAATCGGTTCCTGCTGTGTTGGTTCGCTCATTGCCAGAGATCCCTCTGTGTTGCTGATCTTTTCTGGCCGGCCATCTGATCTTGAGTAGTATTGAGCAAAGACAACTGTTAATGAAGGTCTGTAGTTTGTTTGAGATGCTCTTTATGACGCGCAGTGCAAGTCTCTGATCCGTATAGTAGCACTGACTGACTTCACAGTGGAGTTGAAAATCTGGATCTAATTTTTGATGCTGAGTGCCGAGTGTTGACCTCCACACAGACCTGAGAGTAGTGAAAGCTTGTCTTGCTTTTCCGATTCTTGCTTTGATATCCTCGTCAGTTCCGCCCACCTGTAGTTAAGACGATGCTTCCCAGATAGGGTAGGTAAAGCAGGTTGTTTCTTTCAGGTTCCTTCCATTTATGCTGATCGTTGTCTGTTGTTGGTGGTGTTGCCCAGGAATCTTCATTACCTCTGTTTTCTCTATGTTCACCTGAAGTCCAATCTTCTCTGGATGCTTGTTCTGCCAACTTGTTGCTTTTCGCTTGCATATCTTCGAGTTTGTGGGAAATCAGACATACATCATTGGCGACAACCACGGGCACCAATTCGACTGGGACAATGTTCAAATCTTAGACAAAGGGAACTGCAAAAATGCCAGAGAATTCCTAGAGGCCTGGTATTCAAATGAATCAGCAATCAATAGACACATAGAGATTGACAAAATATACCAATTCATACGAAGAAATTCACACAAAAACAAAGTCAAACTTCAGGTCAAGGAAACAGTCAACACCAAAACAAGTGAACTAGAAAGTGAGAAGTCACACAAAAACAACCAATCACGTCCAAGGTTAGCAGAAGGAATGACTAACGACATTCAGATCAAAGAAGCAGCCAGCACCGAGACAAGCAAACTAGGGGATGAAATGTCACACGAAAACAACCAATCACGTTCAAGGTTACTAGAAGAGATGACTAATAAACTCATAGAGAATTCTAAAAGCTCACTTCACATCGAAGTATGCGCTGAAGATGTTGCTCAGTAGAGCAATGAAAGCTTCGCAACCAAACCATCCAGCTCAGAGAACACAACCACACCAAAATCATCCACCTGAGCTACAAATCTTCTCTATTATATCTAAATCATACGAGCGGAACACGCTTCTTTCTGTTCGAAAGTGGGAAGACTTCGCCAAACGGCAAGGATCCACCAGAGAACAACTATTTTTTCTCCATGAGTGCCTTCGTCATCAAATTCTACCAACCAGCGTGAGATATAAGCCACCAATCAACTGCCCAATGGGATGGAAATTAGCTGAACAATGTGGAAGAAAAATGGTTAAACTAATGATTACAGATGCACATTATAGAATCAAGAAATATCAACAAATAATGGACTTTGAAAAAGAGAAACTAGAGAAAATCCTCAGCCAAGAACACCTTTCAACAACGATCACCGCAATCGCACTGACTAGTAGTAGACACAGAGAACGTAGACGAAAAGTTCTCAGAACCAAGCTAACCAAAATCAAAAAACAACAGCCGAACAATACACCAATTGATTGCGTAGTCAATTTATCAAAACAGCCGCTGTCAAAAATGGAACAACAACTACTTCAAAAAGGATTAAACTACAACACTGAAGACGCCTCGAAAACAGACTTCTTCGCTGCTCTTGAATCAACACTCAAATCATCAGAATTAAGTGAAGAAACACAAGAAGAGATACGTCAGACAATAGTGCCTATAGTTAAACAAAGAAAACGACACACACAACTCAACTCACACGAACAAAAAGCCCTCAAAAGACTGAAAAACAGGAAAGATATCGTTATAGTGCCAGCTGACAAAGGAAGGCCTACAGTAATCATGGACAAAGAAGAATACACTGCAAAAGCGGAAGAACTACTCAAAGATCAAACAATATACCAACAACTAACAACAAACCCCATCGAAACACTAAACAACCGCATCCAAAGAACCCTAAGCAAACTCACCAAAACGGGTCAGATCACAAAAGAAGATCAATGGCGAATGAAATCCAATGGACCCGTCATACCTCGATTCTACGGCAGACCAAAAATACACAAGCCAAATATACCTCTACGACCAATCGTATCACTCCCAGGAACCCCAACATACAATTTATCCAAAGAACTATACAGAAGACTGAAACACTTAACGAAATCATGTGATCACTCCATCCAATCTGCGACCCAATTTTTAGAGAAAATCAAAGGCATTGAAATAGACAGCCAAGAAATAATGGTATCCTTCGACGTCACGGCATTATATACTTCGATTGGACTAAAACTAGCAAAAGAAACCATGGAACAACTACTCAACAACGACGAACACATACAACAATCAAAAATGCAGCATTCAAGTTGGATGGAATGCATAAACTTGTGTCTCACAACTTATTTCCAATTCAACGGCCAAATGTATGAACAAATTCAAGGGACACCTATGGGATCACCCATATCAGGATTGATTGCGGAAGCCGTCATGCAAAGACTGGAAAACATAATTCTGCCAAAGATCAAACCGAAAATTTGGATACGCTACATAGATGATACATTCGTGATAATCAAAAGAGAAAACTTAGACAATACCCACAACATAATAAACAACACCATCAACGACATCAAATTCACAAGAGAGGAAGAATATGAAAACAAAATCCCATTCTTAGACGTCTTAATCAAACGAACAACTACAGGAAAATTAGAAACCCAAGTATACAGAAAACCAACGCACACGGATCAAATACTCAATTACAACAGTAACAACCCAACATCACACAAAATTAGCTGCATACGTACATTGTTCAAGAGAGCCAGGACTCATTGCAGCACTCCCGCCTTGAGGAAAATTGAAGAAAATCATCTTATGGACGTCTTCCAAAGAAATGGATACCCACGAAACTTCATCAAAAGACATCTACCCCCAGCTCAACCAACCAAATCAAAGGCCACCAGCGAAAACACAAAGAAAGTCGTCCTACCATATATAAAAGATATCTCCGAAATCACTGCAAGACTATTCAAACCTTTTGGAATCGATGTCGCTCATAAACCAACAAAGTCACTACACTCAGTTCTATGTAAGCCAAAGGACTCAACGGCAAAAGAAGACAAAACTAACGTCATCTACAAGATAAATTGCAACGACTGCGACAAACATTACATTGGTCAAAGTGGACGCCCTCTTCGTCTTCGCATTCACGAACACAAACTAGCTGTCAAAAGACACGACATACACTCCCTCACATCACTACATGCAGACAACCACGGGCACCAATTCGACTGGGACAATGTTCAAATCTTAGACAAAGGGAACTGCAAAAATGCCAGAGAATTCCTAGAGGCCTGGTATTCAAATGAATCAGCAATCAATAGACACATAGAGATTGACAAAATATACCAATTCATACGAAGAAATTCACACAAAAACAAAGTCAAACTTCAGGTCAAGGAAACAGTCAACACCAAAACAAGTGAACTAGAAAGTGAGAAGTCACACAAAAACAACCAATCACGTCCAAGGTTAGCAGAAGGAATGACTAACGACATTCAGATCAAAGAAGCAGCCAGCACCGAGACAAGCAAACTAGGGGATGAAATGTCACACGAAAACAACCAATCACGTTCAAGGTTACTAGAAGAGATGACTAATAAACTCATAGAGAATTCTAAAAGCTCACTTCACATCGAAGTATGCGCTGAAGATGTTGCTCAGTAGAGCAATGAAAGCTTCGCAACCAAACCATCCAGCTCAGAGAACACAACCACACCAAAATCATTGGCGAAGTCCAGATCCTCCAAGTTTTTCGTGTGAGCCCATTTTATGCCTGTTTCCTCATTGCCCGCTCTTTGTCGCATTATCCAGTCTACTGAAATTAGGAAAATCATTGGCGATAGTAGGCAGCCAGCTTGTCTTACTCTTGTCCTCACTTCGAAGGATTCCGTGTGTTTCTCGTTGTGGATTACTTGGCATGCAGCATTGTCGTACAGCTGTTGGATGAGATGTATAATTGTCGGTGGCACCCCGTAGTAGCGAAGTAGTTTCCAAATCACCTGTCGATCGACGCTGTTGAAGGCGTTTTCAAAGTCGATGAAGTTGAGGTGGAGAGGTGACTGCCATTCCAAGCTTTGTTCAATGATGATCACAATGTGGTCTATAATTCAAAGTGTGGGAGGATAATATTTCAGATATGACTGATAAACTCCAGCTGACACCATCACATGATAATGATTATTCGCTAGTGATCCATTACAGATATGCTATACTGGTTGGTGAGTGCCAGTAAGCAGATGGTATAGGTCCATGCCTCCTCACCGACTGTCTCCAACCATCTAACATCATGAATGCCCTTCTCAGTGAACAGTATGGCATTTAAATATCTAATAATTGATGTATTGTAACATGATTGCAATTCGAATTAATAGGGAATTAGAAAAAAACTTCTATTTACTGTATATTACAATCTTTAAATATAATAAAAAACTAAGGAGATGACAAGTAATTACAGCATATATAACTGTTAATTAACTGTAAGTAATCCAATGAGGATTAACCAGTCGCGGTTCATTTGAATTAGTTGTAATCATTGCAATTAATTGTTTCACGTGTGTGAATTCTAATTCTATTATATCATCTAAACAACAAACATGACCAATAAGACAATCAGTGAAATTGTCCAGATCCACTTGCCAAATTGATACTTGTGCACGTCGAATACTTCCACTAGCTGAAATCACTTTGGTACCATCATAAGATACTTGTAGAATTGGTGGAAAATCCTGTGAAAATTCTAAACGTTCACTATGCATTAAGCGTAATGGATTACTGACTTTACATGGACACCATAAAGCAATTCCATAATCAAGCCTTGCTCCAACAACTACACAATTCACTCCACTAATACCCACTTGAATTAAATTCGACTGATTTGACAGACGTTTCCGATTCCATTGTACACTCCCTTCCTCTTTTCCTCCAGGTTGTATTGGATTACAGTCATGGAAATTGATGAGTGACCAGACTGTAAGGCAGGTGCTTTGTTCCACTGGACTAAATTCCGAATGGACTAACCAACAACCGTCATAGGAGATGGCAGAGACAGTGAGATTTGGTGCATCTGACAGATGTTCCAGCATATTTTCACAGCTGGTGGTCTGTGTCTGCATAGCGTATGCTTCATCCAAATTACCGACATGTTGTAGTTTACTGAGAAGAAATACACAAGCACACTCTAGGCCATAACTTGCCACCATGATACTTTTATTACCACTGAACAAAAACTTCTCAACAGTGGTATTATTCAAGAAAGTAGCGGCTTCCTTTGAATTGCTCAACTCATTGACTACACATGATGAACCTGCTCTACTGTTATTATATTCTTGATAAACTGTGAAATCTGGTTTCAGTCTCCAAATAATCTGACCATTTGTTAAACTGTAGGCTACAAAATGTGATCTGGTTTCATTTAAACCGATTAGATAAGATGTTCCATCTTGATCGATAGGTTCAAGTATTGTATATTCACTGACTTCACTTGGTATAATGAAAACGTCAGATAGGTGTCGACGGTGTTGAAGAGTGAATTCATTCAGTGAGGAGGTTTGAATCAATTCGTAAATGCCCATTCTTTGATATACTTCTCTAAAAAAGAAAAAGCAATAATTAACACCACAGGATATCATATATTTCTATAGTAATGTGTATGAATGCAAGTACATCAGTGAGTTTAAATTATCAGATGCAGAAATAATATAAAAGGTAGGACATTGAAACTACGTGTATACAGTTAATATAGCAAAAGATGTTACAATTTTCAACTGTTGAGGAGGTCGTGTATATTGGATGTGTACCTGTCGACATGTATTCTTAAAAAGCTATGAAACTGTTAAAATTCACCATTTATGTATCACACAACGCTGAAGATAAAATTTCACCACAGCGCTTCTCGAAATCCTCAGATGGCAATCAAAAAGGTAAGCATCTATGTAAGCCGCATCATCCTGGAGAGAGAGAGAATCAAACATGCCCTGGATGAAAAACTTCGACCGGAACAGGCTGGATTCAGGAGAAACAAGTCATGCATTGATCAGATCGCCACATTACGGATCATCATTGAACAAAGCTTGGAATGGCAGTCACCTGTCTATCTCAACTTCATCGACTTTGAAAAGGCCTTCAGCAGACAGAGTCGATCGAGAGGTGCTTTGGAAACTACTTCGCTACTACGGTGTGCCACCGACAATTATACATCTCATCCGACAGCTGTACGACAATGCTGCATGCCAAGTAATCCACAACGGGAAACTTACTGAATCCTTCGGAGTGAGGACAGGAGTAAGACAAGCTGGTTGCCTACTATCGCCAATGATTTTCCTGATTGCATTAGACTGGATAATGCGACAGACAGCGGCAGGCAATCAGGAAACAGGCATAAAATGGACTCACACAATAAAAACTTGGAGGATCTGGACTTCGCCGATGATATATGTCTGATTTCCCACAAACTGGGAGATATGCAAGCGAAAAGCAACAAGTTGGCAGAAGAAGCATCCAGAGAAGATAGGACTTTAGGTGAACATAGAGAAAATAGAGGTGATGAAGATTTCTGGGCAACACCAACAACAGCAACAACAACAACAGACAGACAACAATTAGGCATTAATGGAAGGAACCTGAGAGAAACAACCTCCTTTACCTACCTATCTGGGAAGCATCGTTTCAACTACAGGCGGACGGAACTGACGAGGATATGAAAGCAAGAATCGGAAAAGCAAGACAAGCTTTCACTACTCTCAAGTCTGTGTGGAGGTCAACACTCAGCACTCAGCATGAAAATAAGATCCGAATTTTCAACTCCAATGTGAAGTCAGTCAGTGCTACTATACGGATCAGAGACTTGCACTGCGCGTCATAAAGAGCATCTCGAACAAACTACAGACCTTCATTGACAGTTGTCTTCGCTCAATACTACTCAAGATCAGATGGCCAGCCAGAAAAGATCAGCAACAGAGAAGGATCTCTAGCAATGAGCGAACCAACACAGCAGGAACCGATTGTGCAACAAATAGGCAGGAAGAAATGGTGATGGATTGGCCATACTCTGAGGAAACCATCAAGTGACATCACACTCCAGGCCACTGCTCGAGTGGAGCCCCAATAGAATGGGAAGCGGCGAGTTGGTCGTCAGTGCAAGGGTGAGGGTGACTTGGAGGAGGTCATGTGAAGAGGAGATGAAAGCGTGTGGGCAGACTTGGAGCCAGGTGAAGACTGTAGCAGAGAACCGAACGCAATGGAGACGCAAGGCTGAATCCCTATGTTCCTCTAGGAACTAAAGGAAACAATAATAATAATATGTATGCAGGTATGTACTATTGCCTGATATGAATAGGTGGTTAGTACTCACACCAAACAGTAGGGTCTGCTAGCCAGATCAAGATGATCTAGACACAAGAGAGCAGTTTCACTCGGTTGGAGCCGATCTTAATTACAACAAACCAACCGAATTCAGGTTCGCTGCTTGGACGGAATAGTGCTACACTATTGACTGATGTAGTAACCAGCTACTTATATCAATCAGTTGTAAATGCCATCATGTATTGATGCTTATTTTGCTGAATTACTGTTTATATTATCAAGCAGATCACTTATTCATTATAAATTATTTAAATTAATCCCAGCGTGTTAAGAAAATCAAAACAAGATTTTTCTGAACGTTTCGCTGTGTAAGCCACAGCTTCTTCAGCAGATTTATTCGGATTTTTATTAATCATCAAAATCCGAATAAATCTGCTGAAGAAGCTGTGGCTTACACAGCGAAACGTTCAGAAAAATCTTGTTTTGATTTTCTTAACACGCTGGGATTAATTTAAATAATTTATAATGAATCAATCTGACTCGGCGCTCAAATTATTTCAGGAAGTTCGTAACACCTACGGCCTGGAAACCTATAATCAGATCACTTATTGTGCTCTAAATAGTTTTGGTGAATTCTAATCATGAACTGTGCAGTTTACAAATTGCTAACTCTATTCAATGCATCGCCAGTTTTTCCAGGTGGCTAACCAACTTTATGCTCTGCGTGTGAACTCAGGTACACCACTGATGAGATTGAAGCTAAACGACTGTAACATTCATTGAGTACTCGCACCAGAAGCTAACAGCTGAAGAGAGTGATTCTTAACTATTCATATAAATTAGTAGGGTACAGAATCTTGCCATACTTTTGAAAAAAATGGCCCTGTGAAGTAAATGAACATCAGGCATGTATATAGTCAAAACAGTGATTTGAAACTATAATTATACTACCGATTGTTTAGGTTGATTAAACGCATACAGTAGCATTTTTATTACTATAAAAGAAAAGGAGTTCAGAGAATAGTTAGTCTTTTCGGCGATATCGTTCTCCATCACATATTTCACCTTTATTTTTAAAAATCACACGTGCTACTCATCCTTAACAAGTAGTATGGTTGTGTTTCCCAATTTTACTCTGTTCAGATAATCATCTGATGTTATTTTACTTTGTGGATCATCTGATCAGGTGATGTTTTCTTTGTTATAGGATTATTTGATGAAGATCCAACCGAACATTAAGAGGATCAATCCATAAGGAAGGAACCCACATGGAACCGTGAGATAACAAGTTTCAACATTTTTGTGCCTTTTGAATGAAAATGAAATTTATTTAAATCCCTTGGCACTCGCCTGTGATGCATATGTAGTCCTGACGCTCTTCTTCTGAATGAATTCTTCAATGAAAATAGATGGCCACCATGATTCAGTGACAAGAATATGAAACCAAAAGTGTAAAAAGGGACAAGATATTACTTTTTCTAAAAAATTGGATTTCAAGGGAGGCTTAACCTACGATAACGTTAGGAGAAGACTTTCCTAATCTTTGAGAGGAACATTCTTTGCAGTAAGGCTAATAGTAGTGTTCTCCAGTCGCTCACTGGTCTGCAGAAGTCTCATAGATATGATGTCGCATCTGTTTCTAAGCAGTCATGTTTATTGGTCTTTCAGCGTGCATTCTAACTTGATTTATGTTTGTTAGGTTTTTCTAACCCTTACGTAATTCCATATTTTCCTTCGTTTCTATGTGCAGCTTGATTACAACTCATCTGTTGAAGTTATTCACCTTATTACGTAACTCTAATACACCTATTCAGCTTGTCTTATGCAATGACTAATACTGACAACTATGATTATGACAAGTCACCACTTTGTTACTACTCTTTTCCATGGAAAAATTAATTTAGTCATTGATTGTTATCACCAGTCTGGGACTCATCGGAAGTACGAACCCAGAACCTTAAGGTTAGAATTCAAGCTCATAGACCATTCAGTCACTGGGAGTTGATTCAGTGGCCGGCCCGTGAATTACAACTTCCGTCGTTCGGGTTCCAGGAACTTGGGGGTCTTGAGTTCGAACGCCAGTTGGCGCTTACTGCTTATGAGTCCCAAACTTGGGGTGAGAGACAGAGCTGTCTAGTACTTCCTGGAGGTTTTCACTGCTTCTCTGAGTAATCCAACGTCTTCTATAGTTTGGTTTGTAAGGGTTTAGTTATGTTTTTTACGAGTTGATCACGGACTGATATCAGTTGGAGAACCATTGAAAACCAAGGAGTACTGGACAGCTGCTGTTTCACCCTAGTTTGGGAATCATCGACAGTGCGCACCCACCGCCAAGGTTCGAACTTAGGACCTTCCGGTTACAAGACCAATGAGCTCGTATAACATTCAGCCACTGGGACCCGATTCAATGGCTCATGAATTCTAACTTCTACCAATTCGTGATTTAGCGCGACGTCGCTCGCTAGTGACTTGCTACAGGATGGAGTTTCCTGGAGTTCTAGTGAGAAGTCATGACCGGTGAGGTCCAATTAGATGTCACGTGTGTGGATGGGTGTCTCACCAACGACAATGGTTGGGGTCGCGCTAAATCACGAATTGGTAGAAGTTAGAATTCATGAGCTGTTGAATCGGGTCCCAGTGGCTGAATGGTATACGAGCTCATTGGTCTTGTAACCGGAAGGTCCTAAGTTCGAACCTTGGCGGTGGGTGCGCACTGTCGATGATTCCCAAACTAGGGTGAAACAGCAGCTGTCCAGTACTCCCTGGTTTTCAATGGTTCTCTAACTGATATCAATCCGTGATCAACTCGTAAATCCAACATCTACAAACTAACTGATGACAATGAATTCTGACGAAAAGAGACACTTCACTGAACTGTGTTTTCTACTTTTTGATTATTAACAAATTTGACTGACTGACTTACTTGCATTCTTCAACAACTGGAGAATATTCCAACTTTTCAAGCGTTATCAATATACGTCCATTGAATATAAATACATCGTTACCATGCCACTGGTCTTTTTCAAAAGGTTTAACTGGAAAGTATTTTCTAGTCACTGAATCAGACATTCCATCATTTGTTACATAAATTATACCCAGTGAAATTTGTGCATCCGAAGAATTATACTTTATAAATCCAATACAATCGGTACTGGTATTTTCTAGCCTACAAAGTGAACTTATAATTTCCCATGTATCTTTTGTTTGTCCCTTGATTGAAGTATGTTTAGCTAATTTGTTTGTTAAAGCTTCCAATGGATTACAATTGATTAAACAATGACCATAATCTTCTAATATTGGTTTCACCATACTCAAGTGATTTATATCTCTGAATGAAACAGCCAACGGAGCTATAAATGTATACTGTTCATGTGTTAAATAAGGCATTAAATATTCAGGTTCCAGAAGATTTGATGTTGACTTATTTATATCCCATAGGACAACTTCCAAACCGCTGCTTAGATTATCTTTCTCGTCTTTAAAATGACGATCATTATGAAGATGATGATGATGATAACTGTTGGACGGCTTGATACGTCTTTCACGTCGTGAAGAATTCTCTACAACTGTAATTATCTGGCCAAATGTAGGATTGATATAAATATCCAGTTTAGGTGGTGATGAATAACTCAACAAACCAAATACTTTTGAATATGGCTCCAATGGGGTGAATACATTGTCACAAGATGATTCAATACGCTTCATGTAGTTTCCTGTTACTTGATCAAATAAATCAATGCACCCGATTACATTTTCATCAGGTAGAATGTTTGATGGGGATCTACTGGCTAAGACAATCGGTTTACCTAATCCACTGCTGATCCCTAACAAACGTGTACCTTGATTTGGACATTTCAGGCATTTTTGTTTCAATGATTGCAGCAAATTGAAATGATGATCACTATTCAAGTTTATGCTGAACATTGTAGCATGTGAATCACCTCTTGCAGCACAGATAATTTGAAGCAATCTGCTTTCTATAATAATATTCGTAGTTAGAAAGAGTTCGGTGTTTGATTTAACTGGACTAGGTAAACTCATTGATCGTAAAGCTTTATGCTCTAACTTTTCGGCCTGAAAACCAGATTGCGACGGTATATCAACAAGGCTAACTGGACCGAAAATTTGAGTTAAACACCTTTCTTTCCATAACCATACAGATAATTTACAGACGCCTTGTTGTAGTATAACAATATAAGCTATACCTTGTTCACCTGTTTCAACTACAGATATACTACAGTTTTCTTTGACACTAGGCAATGAAACATCCGCAGGAGTGTAATCTTCCATAAGTGAGTAGTAATCACCAGATATTGTAAAATTACCATTCACTTGCATAGGCCAGACAAGAACTCGTTGACTTGGTGTTTCAATGCCTAAAATTGCTTCATTTGTAGCAATCCATGCTAGTTCATTCACTGTTTGAACATTACTACATGGCAGAACAATACTCAAAATTCGATAATTCTCCAAAACATTCCATATTTCTAATTTTGTTATACAACTTTCTAAATTTTTTGTTGATATTGCCAGTATATCATTCGATGTAGAATAGGCGATTGCATTGATTTGTATCTTATTCCTGACATAACTCAAACCTACACTAGCTGGCATAGACAATGATCTAGAAGTCAGACTGCCGATCAACTGTTCATTTGAACATAAATATGCGCGTAGTTTAAAATTAATCAAACTGGGTATCATTATTGTATTAGTCAACGCTGTGTTGCGTTGATGAATACTTTCAATAAGTGAAGTTAACGACTTCTGGATCATAATTTCTTTTTCTGCCTTATTTGAATTTAAAGTATTTTGATCAGTATTGCCATCATCATCTGGCTTCATTAGCTGATAGTGAAGACAATCTTCTAAATTGCTATTCATCAGTATAGTATTCAATAGGAATGGATCTCGAGTTAACTTATGTTTCCATTGGATTAAAATACTCATAATTATCCAGATATCAGGATTATCGTGTATCTGTTTCAATGACTGTTGAATATATACATCAGACGTTGACTGAACCTCAGTTTCACTCTCTGCTATTTGTTGGTCATTGTTGTAATCGTGTATGCATGACATACATAGTATAATATCGTCTAACAGGTTCTGTACACATGGAGCAGTATACTCTGTGAAGAAATTAAGCTGTACTTTTAAATTTAACCAAAGGGAATTACAAAAACAAGTTTGTTTCAACTGTTGTAATCTACCTAATTTGGATAAATGATACGGGACTTCATGAATCCATCTCCAGTGGACACAGTACTGTAACGACTGCCTGCTTTCACTGCTTAACCTTGAATCAATCGATGGCGATATTTGTCTGTGTTGAAGATAAAATGTATTCGTTTGTAGGATATGAAAATCAGATATGATTTTATTATTGTTATTATTATTGTTCAAATAATACGATTCTAACCAGTAACGGAATGATTGTTGACGTAAATTAAACATTTGATAACATCCATAAGGTGGAGATCTAGTAAGCGTTAAAATGCCTAAGTGGTTTAAGAATTCATTTAGAAATCGAGACAGCCAATTCCTTGTTACGTAAACACGTTCTGATTTGTCATTTGACCAGAAACCTAGACCACTATTATTATTATTACTACCTTGTATTGACATTCTATGAGGTTTTGTCATGATATTAGATGGATTTTGAGAACTGTGCAACAATTTAGAAGATTTCAACGATTGACTAGAATATGGTAGCCAAGACCAAAATAAAGTGATCAAATCTTCATCATTTAAACCCCATCTTGATATGATCAGCTGGCCTAAAATGAACTGTACTCGTCTAAGTCCATAGTATAACTCAGCGTAGGACAATAGACAATTGAATAATTGTTCACTTGTCAATGACTCTGAACGTTTTAACAAACTGTCCACATGTTGATTTCTACTCTCCAATAACTTTACAAGTATTTTAAGCTGAAGTGGTTGAAATGTCTTGTTTATGGCTTTGAGTTTTGAGATGACGATAGTTTCAACACTTTGAATATGAAGCCATGCTTTGACACACTGTTCCATACTCTGTATATCAAGTTCTCTCAAGTGAATCAACACATAGTCATCGTTAGCAGTAGTAGTAGTAGTATTGGTATGATTATCATTATTATTTGAGGTATGCTGATTGATTTTGTTTTGAAGAATACTGTGAAATGAAGCTACTTCAACAGGAGCACTTGTTGTTGACAGAAGGAAGACAACTGGACAGTTTAAAACAGGCTTATATTTTAACCATGTGAACGGAATCCATGAAATTGGGAAATTGTCTTTGCGTTGTTTACATTCTAAGGAAAGAGAAAGCGAGAAATTTAGATGATAGTAAAGGATAGATACCACAGTCAAATGACCTTAAAAAATGACCAATCAGATTCTTCTAGGTAGGAAGTGACGTTTTTAGACTAAAAAGGAATGGCTTTATTGCATATCCCAAGCTAACTGTCACATCGTATTCCTCTGCTGTAGTTTTTGGTTGACAAGTTATATTTTTTGTATCCACTTTCAATGAAATTTTTCATTCAAAAAAATTTCCTGGTGTATACATTACTGAGGGCATTATATTCTTGAACTGCGTTACACTTGTTGTACTTTTATCAGAAAATGTTCTTTGACATGGATATCTGTGCAATGTTATTGATTAAAGGAGTCAGTAATTTCGAAAATTAAACGTATATTAGAGAATTTTTATGAAATCATGCTGGTATACTTTGGCCTGTTTATTGAAACGCCCTAATCCTCACCGGATATAGGTGGTGCCATCTCAAAAGGGGTTATACCATATAGCTGCCCGTATAAAAAAGCATAGTTATACGATATACGTGTATATATGTATATACGTCTACATAAAATTGAAGCGTATATGTCAATAGTATGCTGCAAAATGATGTCGCAGTTTTTCCTAAGAGTGCTTACAGACACATCAAACCAGTGTGCATATAAAACCTCATCTAAGTGACTGTATATTATATCATATCATATCGGGAACCATCTACCATTCTAATCCGGCTTTTCTTAGATGTGCCCGGAATTTGTATTAGTCTCACTTATAGGATTCATTAATTGACTTTAGTATGAATATAATCTAATGATGACAGTTGAAAATAACCTTTCCACTCATTTGTATGTATGGGAGGACTAGATGTTGTACTGTTTGCATCAAAGTATCGACAATTTTGTTTTGGATTGAGTTCTACTAACTCTTTTCGAAGATTTGTATCTTCCAGTCCCAGCGGCTAAACATGTTTTTCTCTTCTCCTACCGTGATTCACTTTTTCTTTAAAAGGTACTGTTGTGTCAGTATCAGTGAAGACGACACCACAAGTAATTCCATCAGCCTTATTGTGAGGCAATACCCAGGCAATGATGATACTGTTGCACTGTCGACATTTTAGTATTTTCTCTGTTTCCATGGCTGTAGCAGACACTGGTCGTTTCAATGGCATATACACAATAACTTAACAAGGGAGAGTTTCGAGTTCGAGAAGAACGTATCTAAAAAATCTCCATAATGTACAACTTACCGCTTCTTACGGACTTCCTGTTATGGCCGTGATTGCATATGAACTAATAGTCGTCGACAGCCTAGCAGTACTTCCGAAGAGTCATGGGCATGTTTTAGTCTACCTGGTCGAACTATTTTCCACACAGAAGTTAAAGACCAAATTAGGGTAAAGCTTACGATGAAGGTTATGAACAGCATCCATTTGGAATGCCGATAAATCTGACTGGTTGTTTCTAGGTCATTTGGTTGCGGTATCTATCCTTTACTCTCGACAAAGTTATTTTCGGAGTATTTTTGCGTAGTATATTTTGACTACTGACAAATAGTATAAGTAGCTTCAGACGATACATTTCAATTATCAATATATGCACGTATGAGTCTCAATATTCACAAAAAATGATATGCAATAAATATTATTTACAAAAGTCGTCATAAACAGTAAACCATCAGTATTAGACGGGTACTTCTATCTCATGGAGTATATAAATGTAGAACATTTGCGCACATAATTCCATACATTTCAAAACTATTTTACCATGAATTTTTCATCTAAGTCAGACTTAGGTCTAGCATCTAGGAGCATGTAATTTTTCGCTGTTGAATGGTTGCAGCCAGTCGATGATGAACTTACAGACCTAGGTTTTATGCTTTCAACAATTGTCAAGGAAGTGTTTATGCAGCTTTAACATGAAGGAGGAATTATCAAAAATTCGAATACACATCATTCTATCCTAAAGCTGTAGACGTTGACACTGAGCTTCCACAATGACAATTAGATAGTTGAAAACTGTGATGCATACATCGAATGGTCACCAGTAAGCAGTTATTTCAATGTTTTCCAGTACTTGGTTCTGACAGCAAGACATTCACCAAGCTGAGGGATTATATGGTTGGGGAAAACGGTTGTTTGGAGAATGCAAATACTGCTTGCTGACTAACGCTAACAAAAACTAGGCCTAGGGAATCCCTCCAACTGCGTCCACTCACCTAACATCAATTCACACAACATTAAAGACTGGAAAACGTGGAACTGCTCACTTCCTAGCGTGAACTCACAAAATTAATAAGTCTGATACAAGGTAACATCGACACAGTTATCCAATTTTCATGCGATTCATAGACTAAAACTCTATTTGATGTCCAAAGAGAAATAATTTCTTGATAAGATATGTAGTAAAATTAACCCTGTCTATTCCCTCCCGGACCTATTTAATTTTGCAGACGAATTTACACATTTTTTTGCTTCTGATGCTGCTTGTCTAGAGAAATTTGCACCAGCAGTCATTGTAGACTTCAGTTCTTGCGACTGTTCTGTACTTGAATCTGTAGGTCATGTACATGTTGTCAGCCTCGTCAAATGATTTGACAAAACAATAGATTTAGTGCTTACAAGTAACGATGGAATATATAAAGTACGCAAATACATTATTATTATTTTCTTGGGTTCCTTGTGGAACAAAGGGCTTCAACTGCACGTCTCCACTTGCTTCTGTCTTCTGCTGTACTTTTCACCTGCATCCATGTAAGTCCATACTGTTTCAACTCCTCCTCACACTATCTCCTCCATATCACCCTTGGCCGTCCCACTCACCGCTTCCCTTTCGGGTTCCACTCGAGCACTGGCCTGACACGCGATATCACCCAGCGGCCTCCTCAGCGAGTGTCCAAACCACCTCCACTTTCTCCTGCATATTTGTTGGGCAATCGGTTATTGTTTTGTTTGTTCCCATAGTTTCTTGTTGGTTCTTGTTCTTTCCGGCCATCTGATCTTCAGTATAGAGCGAAAACAGTTGTTGATAACGGTCTGCAACAGGCTGTTGGAAATATTCATTGTGACCCACTGGCCAAGTTTCTGATCCATCCGTATAGAAGAACTGACTGACTTGACGTTTGTATTGAAAATCCGAATCATTTTGTTGTTGATGCTGAGTTGAGTGACGAAGATTTCCAGATTGGTTTCAGGTTGATGAGTGTGTTTCTCGCCTTCCCGATTCTCGATTTGACATCCTCGTCCGTTCCTGTCTCCTGTAGTTGAGAAAATGCTCCCTAGATAAGTGAATGAAGTAAACCCTTTCAAGTCCCTCCCGTTGATGATGAATGGCGCTGGATTTCGCTGCTGCTGTTGTTGTTGTTGTTTTTGTTGTTGGTTGGTTATTTTCATAACCTCCGTCTTGTCCATGTTCACCTGGAATCCTGTCTTCTCTGGCTGCTTATTCGACCAGTTTGTTGGTTTTCACTTGTAAGTCTTCGATTTTGTATGACATCAAACATAAATCATCTAGATTCTTCACGTTGGTCCAGGATATCCCTGTGTTCTCGTTTCCCACTGTCTGATGCATAACCCAGTCCACCACAATTAGGAATATCATTGGTGATAATAAGCACCAATTGCATTACTTGAGTGTCACCTAAAATATGTGGCAAATCATACGCAAGTGTTTTCGTTAACCTTTCCCGGAAAACTCAACAGAGGTATTACTGAAATAGAGAATACATAATCTGATATGCATGTTGAATAACACTCACTGGAACTTAGATTCTGAATATACACTAGATGACACAATCACTAATGAAACTGATTACATGGAGGATTTCACCATGAGCTGACATCAGTTAGAGAACCACTGGAAAACCTGGGAGTACTGGACAGCTGTTTCGTCCTAGTTTGGGACTCTTCAGTATTACGCATCCACCGGGATTCGAACCCAGGACCTTCTGGTTACAAGGCGAGCTTGCAGACCATTGAGCCACTGAGACCCGATCCAATCCCTACAAAATCAATGCTTGAAAACTGATTATCTTAGATTCTGCCTCGATAATTGTTGTCCAAAACAAGCATTATTCAAAATATTTGATGGTTTCTTTTCTGCTCATCTGAAAAATCTACCTGGAGAAAATGAATGGTTGTAAAGGCCCAAAGATACATCCGGTATTAAAATGATTAAAATATTAATCAAATTTGAAATCCAAGGTGTGAATAGCATTCATTACTATTATTATTATTAAATATGCATACCTTCTAAGTTTTCAATACCATCCAAAATAATTATCAACGGCTGTTTCATTGATTGTTCATAAGTAGCTTCTGTAATAGCTGTACGCAAGGCTATACGAAGTCCATCATAGGTCTAAATGAAAAATATTCATCAAGAAACAATTACAAAAAAGAGAAGAGTAAATTCACCCGATTAAAAATCAACAGGAGTGTGTAGACAGCAAAATTACTTCAAGTAACATTTCTTGTTAAACTAACAAAAAAGGGGGTGACTTAGGCCTCTGCATGAACTAGTGCGGAATCATACTCTTGTCTACACTGAGTAAAATAATGAGTCGAGTGATCCTGGCGAAAATAAATAATACACTTGATGCAAAACTCCTCCCAGAACAAGTTGGATTAGGAAAAGTGAATCTTATGCAGATCAGATAGCAACCCTAAGCATCATCATTGCACAAAGCGTAGAATGTAAGTCACAACTCTAATTAAGTTTCGTCAATACTCAAAAGACTTTCGACAGGGCTGACCGTAAAGTAATTTAGGAATTACTTCAACATAATGGAGTGTAGTGGCAAAAATGTTTACCGACCCCATTCTACAGATATGTGACAAGGCCACATGCAAGTCATCCACAAAGAGAAACTCAGTGAAGCCACCTATCGAGGTGAAGACAGGAGTATGACGAGCCTGTCTAACTACTGTCGCACACGATGATATTTCGAATTGTGGTGCAGTGAATTATGCGGATGACCGTGTAGTGAGAGGAGCGAGAAGACATGGATACAGTAGACCGGTAAGAAGACTATGCAAGATGTGGATTTCGCGGACGATTTGTGTCTAGTGAAGCATAAATTAGAAGATGACTCACAGACGAAGACCAACAAGTTGAAAGAAGCAGCAGCGAAGACTGGACTCCAAATGAGCATAGGGATGAGATGGCCGTGGTGGTGAGAATAACCAAACAACCAACCGACCAGCCGACCAATAACAACAATCACCAATTACAATCAGCGGGGAAATTGAGAGAGATTACTTCCCCCACTTACCCAGGTAGGTAACATCGTTTTAGCCACACGTGACAACATTCATGAGAATGTGAAAACCAACCAGGATCGGAAGGAAAAGACAGACCTTCAACACTGTGAAGTCAGTTTGAAAATCTTTTGCGCTAAGCATAAACAGCAGAATTCAGATTTTTAATACCAAAGTCAATTCAGTCAGTTCGTCTATGTGGGTCAGAAACCTGACACACACGTCAAGTAAAGCATTTCTAACAGGTTACTGAAGACCTATCAGTAGGTACCTTCGATGGTTTTATACTGCAGATCAGATGGCCAGTCCCAAAGAATGAGGAAAATGAAACTCTGGTAAAGAATAAATCGAGAACCTGATGCTCAAGAAATGTGACGGAGGAAATGGGGATGGGTTTGACACACTTTGATGAGGCCATCAGGTGAAATGAAGTGCCAGACCATCACTGTAGTGGAACTCTCATGTGAAACAACGAGTTAGGCGTCACTTATATGGAGTAGATCTTCTGGGGAAGAGCTGAGAGCCTATGGGATCTAGCTTAAGACAACTACAGAGGACAGGGTGAAACGGATCTGTTCTTTTGAGGCCATATGTTCTACTTGGGATCCAAGGGAATAATAATCCTGACTAATAATATAATACATTTCTTCACGAACATATACACTGAAAGAAGAAATGAAAATCAAGGATCATTGGACAGCTGTTCTGTCTCAGTTCAGAACTCTTTGATACTACATGTATAACCTCACTGAGGTCGACATCAAGACTTCCTGGTATTACAGCAGGCATATTACCCTTTAGTCTTCTCTGCGGAGTACTATGGCAAATGAATTTTGAATTCGCGAAATATGGAGCCACTTTAGCAGATTTTTTTAGCAGGTAACTATTCTTACACTTGACTTCATGTACTACACTGGTAAGGAGTTTTTCTCGTAACCTGAAGGTCCAGGCTTCGATTTCCAATGGGGTCATGAGTGAGTACTGCCAAAGAATCCCAAACTGGGACGAAACAACTGTCAAATACTCGCCTATTTTTCAACAGTTCTCAAAATGATGTCGGTTCTGAAAAAATTTAGCATGAAATCAATCGGTTGCTTAGAAATCAACCCTTTAAGTGTAGAATGATAGTACAACTGTTTTTGGGTTTTTTTTTTTAATTTTCAGTTGTATTGAAGTTTGAGTTCTCAAATACAAGAGATCCTTAATGTTAAAAAGTGACAGCTGGAACTCATGATTAACTTCCTGCAGGACGGTAAGAAATACACTGACTATTCGGTAGAGGGTAACCAATATTAGTAATTTGCAATTTGATGCTGGCTGAATTCCATTCATCAAGTTTGATATGCGGTTGCCAAGTTGAGTTACTTGCCATCCCCGTTTCACTTCTTATTTCTGTCGGCAAGTATCTTGTATTTTTCAGATTGTAATTTCTGAAACTTTCGGAATTAATTCGATTCCCAGTGAAGAATTTATATTCATAGACATTTACGTCTTCTAGGAGCATGAAAGGTGAAGTGGTTATCATGTGTTGGTTAGTGTAAATTAAGTTTGCTATCCCAATCAGTAATTTATGAGAATTTTGAATTAAAATAGAATGCTATTTCAAAGTAGGCGAAATGAATACAAGTGAGAGGATCTTATTTTGAAATATTATTATTATTGTATCCTTTATTTCCTAGAGGAAAATAGGGCTTCAGCCACACCGCACGTCTCCATTGCGTTCGGTTCTCTGCTAGAGTCTTCACCTAGCTCCATGTCTACCGATACGTTCTCATCTCCTCTTCACCTGACCTCCTCCAAGTCACCCTCCCACTGACGACCAACTCGCCGCTTCCCTTTCGGGTTCCACTCGAGCGATGGCTTGTCTAGTGATGTCACTTGATGGTTTTCTCAGAATATGGCTAATCCATCTCCATTTCTTTCTGCCTATTTGTTTCACAATCGGTTCCTGCTGAGTTGGTTCGCTCCCACAGATCTCTATTGCTGATCTTTTCTTGCCATCTTGATCTTGAGAATTTGGCCTACACAAATTGACGTTTACTATCTTATTGATTGTAATTACAGAATAATTGTCATTTCCTTGGTGATATTTTAAACCATACACCAATCTGGAAGATTCGATTCTCAGTCTCAAATGTTCTTAGACGGTTTAAGTCATATTTGGAGTGATCTTAGATAGGAAGGAGTAATGGGGCGTGGTGACTTCAAAAGAATATCGTAGCCTGTTATTATGGTAAATACTTCAGATTAGAAATATCAGTGATATAAGGTGTTCTTTTCGTTCCTTTACGTTCCCAGTGGAACATAGGGGGCTCCAAGCTAGAGGCTTGAAGTTTCCACAGCAATGGTGTTTAGTTTCAAGGGATGGGATTTTCTAGCTTCATGCCCAACCTTCCCTCTTTATCAATCTTACTACTGGCTTAGTGAGGTAAAGGAGTGAGTCTGTGGCCGGGGACCGAACCCCGGACCACATGAGACGTGGTTGGCTGTGCCGTCAAAGCCCGTGGTGTTTGTAAAATTCCATATTCAAAGCGAATAACAAACAGAATCTAATGGTGTGATCTAATGGTTGCCGGTGAATAGTAGGAGAATCCAAGATGCATGTTTAGTCTCGTTTGGGACTAGTGAGCTGGGTATATCTGAATCACTAAGGGAGTGAAGCGGTTCCCGTTGTTACTCGAATTTGTCATCAGTCGACTTAAACTCTGAAGCATAATCAACTAGATAAGACAGCCACTAAATCTAACACTTATGAGACAGTTTTGATGTGAAATTACTTATGAATGCTTGTGATTTCCAACCAATGTGTTTAGATTATTCTTATAACTCTAAGGGTTTTGTTAAGGAATGGAACGCATAAGACTCGTGCGACTTTCATGTTCGTCTTTTGCATATAAACTAACCAACTGAGGTTCTTTTCTTGGTAAAAATTTCATACAACATAAAACATACATCAGGTATTGTTGATGCAGTCATTTGTGTGGACAGTTCTAAGCACAGATAATTTAACAGATTCAGTAAGTTCAATGACATTGTAGAAGATCCAATCATCCGGTAAATCACTCGTGGACTGTAAATGAATTGAAAAAAAACACAGCAGCGGTCATTAGAAATTTTAACAAAGGATAAAAATAATTAAATTGCTTCCCCCTAGTCGACAATATTGTTACTGGTCTGCTTAGAAGTTTGATTGTGTTCCTCACCTTAAAAACTGAAGACCCATGGCTCCATGCCTCACAGAGGTATGAGTGGCTAATGGAGGTCTGGATGACCAGCTTGAATATTTAACTTTTAATGAATCAGTGATGGTCTTCAGACTCGTTTAGCTAATTTAAGTTGGTTTGCTCCTGCAGTGTTGACGATTTTCATAAGCAATGAATGACTGGAATTCTAATATCTGAAAAATACCAACTGACAAACATCTGTTCGGCCGTAGTATGTAAACAAATGATTGACTTTATGAAAATTTAGAGGGTAGTCTTATGTATTTTCAGGTCCCTGCCTTGTCGTACGATATTATTATTATTGTTTCCTTTAATTCCTAGAGGAACATAGGGATTCAGCCGTGCGTCTCCATTGCGTTCGGTTCTCTGCTACAGTCTTCATCTGGCTCCAAGTCTGTCCACACGTTTTCATCTCCTCTTCTCATGACCTCCTCCAAATCACCCTTGCACTGATCATCAACTCACCGCTTCCCTTTCGAGTTCCCCTCGAGTAATGGCTTGTCTAGTGATGTCACTTGGTGGTTTCCTCAGAGTATGGCCAGCCAATCCATCTCCATTTCTTCCTGCCTATTCGTTTCACAATCGGTTCCTGCTGTGTTGGTTCGCTCATTGCCAGAGATCCCTCTCTGTTGCTCATCTTTTCTGGCCGGCCATCTAATCTTGAGTATTGAGCGAAGACAAGCTGTTGATGAAGGTCTGTAGTTTGTTTGATGTTCTCTTTATGACGCGCAGTGCAAGTCTCTGATCCATCCGTATAGTAGCACTGACTGACTTCACACTGGAGTTGAAAATCCGGATCTTATTTTTGATGCTGAGTGCTGTTGACCTCCACACAGACTTGAGAGTAGTGAAAGCTTGTCTTGCTTTTCCGATCGATTCTTGCTTTGATATCCTCGTCAGTTCCGTGTGCCTATAGTTGAAACGATGCTTCCCAGGTAGGTAAAAGAGGTTGTTTCTTTCAGGTTCCTTCCATTTATGCTGATCGTTGTCTGCTGTTGTTGTTGCTGTTGGTGGTGTTGCCCGGGAATCTTCATCACCTCTGTTTTATCTATGTTCACCTGAAGTCCTATCTTTGATGCTTCTTCTGCCAACTTGTTGCTTTTCGCTTGCATATCTTCTAGTTTGTGGGAAATCAGATATATATATTCATCGGCGAAGTCCAGATCCTCCAACTTTTTTGTGTGAGTCCATTTTATGCCTGTTTCCTCGCTGCCCTCTGTTTGTCGCATTATCCAATCTACTGCAATCAGGAAAACCATTGGCGATAGTAGGCAGCCAGCCTTGTCTTACTCCTGTCCTCACTTCGAAGGATTCCGTAAGTTTCCCGTTGTGGATTACTTGGCATGCATCTTTGTCGTACAGCTAATGGATGAGATGTATAATTGTCGGTGGCACACCGTAGTAGCGAAGTAGTTGCCGAAGCACCTCTCGATCGATACTGTCGAGTGCCTTTTCAAAGTCGATGGAGTTGAGATTGAGAGGTGACTGCCATTCCAAGCTTTGTTCAATGGTGATCCGTAATGTGGCGATCTGATCAACGCATGACTTGTTTCTCCTGAATCCAGCCTGTTCCCGTCGAAGTTTTTCATCCAGGGCATGTTTGATTCTCTCCAGGATGATACGGCTTAGTATTTTGCTTGGGATGGACAGGAGCATAATTCCGCGCCAGTTCTTGCATTGACTTAAGTCTCCTTTCTTTGTTAGTTTGAATAAGTATTCTTTCTTCCAATCCTCGGGTACTTTGCCTTCTTTCCACACCTTTTGCAGTAGTGGCGTCATCAAGTTCGCTGTTGTCTCTGGGTCCATTTTTAATGCTTCTGCTGAGATTCCATCTGGTCCTGCTGCTTTTCCAGCCTTTAGCATCTTGATTGCCTTCAGGACTTCTGATTTCGTCGGGGGGTTGGTGTTGTTCCCTGGCATCCTAAAAGCCCCAATCGAGCAGTCTATACCACTGTACTAGGACTACACCAAAAAGAACACAACAACATTCAATCATTCTACTGATTTTTGCTGTGATTCGACCTGGTAGACTCTAAACCCTGTTCATCCAAAAATTACTTGATCTCGTCCTGGGATGTTGTAGCTCAGTATGCGTGAAAGGTATCCTAGCCACAACCTAGCGAGTAAGCCGCATGATTGTAAGGTAGAATGAAATAAAATTACTGGGATTTTGTCATCAGGGAGTAAAACTATGAAGGGTGCAACAACCCAACGCATCCAACTATAAAATAATGGAGATTTGTAAATTAGGTGTATTTTTTTGGTTAGTTATGTTGTGGTCATTGAGCTAACTGGTCTAGTTGTGAAACTTTCGATATCCTTCTGAACAGTGTCATCAAAAGGTTTTTCCATAAGGAATCCATATCGACATGTCCTGTATAGTATGGTGGTCGATATCGAGTCTAGAAAGAAACCAATTAGAATTAGTGTACATAAAACGATGCCCACTATTTTGCTGATCATGATTACAGAATATTGACATATCCTTAGTGATATTGTAACAACAGAAGGCAAGGGTCAGGCAACAGATCATTTATTAAGGAAATCAACGCATATTTATATATTTGCATGTACATTACTATGGATATTTAAGTAAACAAACACAGTCTTCCGATTGGTTGTTTCTCACAACAAATCTTGGGAACGTAAATATTGACGTAAATTACTGTCTACCAATTTGGCTAGTAGACAGCTCTCACCACAATATTTTGAGTCGTACATCATTGCGTAAAATATACTTTTAAGCTTATTGTGTGTTCTGGCTTAAATTGTGTGATCTGAAGAAACAGGTAGCTGTCGTATTATGTTGTTGTTGGCGTCATCATGCGGTTTTGATGATGGGCGTGTCTGTGTCCAATTCGGTGTCCCTATTTCAATCCCAATGCATTGCAAATCATAACAACTTAGCATTTGCGGAATTCCAAGGTACACTTAGATAAATGTCTATGACATTATAGTGAAGAATTCTGGCACTAAAATACAATTACGGCTGAAATTAATAGGGTAGTCTGGAGTCAGACAAGGGTGCTTATTATCACCAATGATATTCCTAATTGTGGTGGACTGGATTATGCGTCAGACAGCGGGAAACGAGAAGACAGGGATATCCTGGACCACCGACGTGAAGAATCTAGAAGACCTGGATTTCGCGCGTGGATGATTTATGTTTGATGTCACACAAAATCGAAGACTTACAGGCGAAAACCGACAAACTGGTCGAAGAAGCAGCCAGAGAAGACAGGACTCCAGGTGAACATAGACAAGACGGAGGTTATGAAAATAACCAACCAACAACAACAGCAGCAACATTCAGTGCCAATCACCATCAACGGGAGAGATTTGAAAGAGGCTACTTCATTCACTTATCTAGGGAGCATTGTCTCAACTACAGGAGGAACCGACGAGGGTGTCAAATCGAGAATCGGGAAGGCGAGAAACACATTCATCAAACTGAAACCAATCTGGAAATCTTCGTCACTCAACTCAGCATCAACAACAAAGTGATTCGGATTTTCAATACAAACGTCAAGTCGGTCAGTTCTTCTATACGAATGGATCAGAAACTTGGCCAGTGGGTCACAAAGAATATTTCCAACAGCCTGTTGCAGACCTTTATCAACAACTGTCTTCGTTCTATACTGAAGATCAGATGGCCACCGGAAAGAATCATTAACAAGAAACTATGGGAAGAAACGAAACAAGAACCAATCACCCAACAAATATGCAGGAGAAAGTGGAGATAGACTGGATACTCGATGAGGAGGCCGCTGGGTGACATCGCGCGTCAGGCCATAGCTCAAGTGGAACCCGAAAGGGAAGTGGCGAGTTGGACGTCAGTGCAAGGGTGACATGGAGGAGATCGTGTGAAGAGGAGTTGAAACAGTATGGATTAACATGGATGCAGGTGAAAAGTACAGCAGAAGATAGAAGCAAGTGTAGACGTGTAGTTGAAGCCCTATGTTTTTAACCACTGCTCATCCTATCCATTCTTCATGCCTTTCCACCTCCTCTTTGTGCTGGAGCACACACGCACACACAGAATCCCTGATCTAGCGAATGGTGGTCAGACAAGTGAATGAACCTTTTCCCCAAATTCCGCTTAACGTCTGTTATGACAAATTAGGTTTGTTATTAATTAATCAGGTGCTAGAGCATATCCATTAATTTATTAAGGCTGATCAGGTAATGTATGATAAATTTTCAAGTTTTCAAGTACTGGTTTTGCAGAGATGTTTTTCGATGAGTTGGAGGATTTCCATTGGAAAACATGGGAGTGCTGGACAACTGTTTCATTCTACTTGGAGACTCCTCAGTGGTACGCACCCACCGCCAGAGTTCGAACCCAGGACCTTGTGGTTACAAGGCTAGCTAGTTCCTAGACCATTAAGCCCCTGGGAGCGACCTGATCCAATGGCCATCCCATGAATTCTAACTTCTGCCGATTCATGGCAAAGTGGACCACTTCGCAATGTCTTCTTCGATGAGTTACCGCCTCATCTTCAACTTGCTGCACCCTATTGGTCGTGGCTTCCCACCAGAACCCCAGGTTAACTGCCTGAATAAGCCAGTCGCTAGTAAGCACATCAGACTAATTTTCAAGTATTGGTTTTGTTGGGACTTTTTTATTTGATTGGTCCAGTACTCCCAGGTTTTCCAATGCTTTTGTAACTGATATCGGCTCATCATGAAATCCTCCAATGAGTATATGATAAACACTACTCCATTTTGCCAGTATTAAATATTAATTCAGAAACTTGCCATGCGCGTCACAAAAAGAACTTCCAATCAGCTTCTAGCGACATTTATCCAAAAAGGTCTTCACTCTCTACTGAACATCAAATGGCCAGAAAGGATCAGCAGGAAGAAGCTGTTGAAACAAAGCTATCGAGGAACTAGTGCCGAACAAATATCTCGAAGAAAATGGAGCTGCATCAAACACGCACTGAAGGGACCACTGAATGACATCAAGCACCATGCCATTACTCGGGTGAAACCGGAATGCACAGAGATGAGTAGGGCGTCACTTCAAAGGTAACATGGACGAGATAGTGTAAGGAGGAAATAAGAGACTATGGGAAATCGTGGGGCCGGCCAGCTAAAGAGGATAACAGAGAATTAGAAAAAGTAGAGATGTGCTTCTGTAGCCCTACGTTCCACTCGGAACCCAAGGGAACAACAAAAATAATAATAAATACAATTCCAATTGTTTTACAACAATTTCAGTTGAAAAAAGAAAAATACCACAAAACTCACTAAATAAAATTTGAAGAGATTTCAATCGGCTTTGTGATTAGTCTTTTAGCTAAAGAAGCCAACAGAACTGATTTCCCACTGCCGGATTCACCAGTCACATGAATAAATTTGAAGTAGTTCATATGAAGAATATCTATCTCTTGACAATCTTTGGTATGCTTCGAAATAATCTCCAGTAATTGAGTTATTTTGTCTTCTCTTGCAATGCATTCTAAAGATCTGTATATAAAACAATAATTGCATGTGTATTGAAAACACTTTGTTCCTGTTGTAAATTTAAAAAACAAGCAACATCTATGAAGAAAGCAGCGTTTTTAGTGAATTCGTAATTTTGCGGTAAGACTCATCAACTGAATACTCTATAAACGCTGTTATTTATACAATTCTGTTTAAAGGTTAATTATCTACAAACATATGAATATTGTTACAATAAATCAGGATCAGTTAGAACAAATGCAAGATGTACAAGTTTTGTGAGTGGTGCCTAGACTAGCCACTGGTGGGAGTAACCATGACTTTCTTTCTAAAGGCAAGAGTCCTGAGTCATCGGTTGCGCTGACAGGCACCTCCGCGTGGTTCCCGCTGGGTGGGGTGGTTTTCTGGCCGCCCTAGCTAAATCCTGTCAGGACGAGAGCAAACTATTTCTTGCCCTTGGGATTGCCAAACGCGGCTTGTTCTGGTTGTTATCCTCTTTGGTGCTAAGGCGTCTTAGGGGGTACTGGGGCATTGACTGCGAGCGGTAGTCTGGTCATGAAAACCGAGTGGGAAGGATGTTGGGGGAGTCTCATATCCCTATAACCACGAGGCACCTTGATTCGAACCTTCGGACGACCTATGAGGGGATTATGTCCGAGACTAGTTTGCTCACAGATGGTGGCCTTTAAGGCTTCGTCGGACTGCGATCGGTCGTGGGTCTCCGCGGCTGGTTGTAGGGCTTTAAAACCGTCCAGTGAGTTCATACAGCGCAGGTAGGTGGCGTGACCTCTAGTTGCTTGAGAGTGCAAGCGTCAGGGTTACACCTATGATTTAGTGGGAGCAGAGCAGTCGTGGGAGTAACCACCCGCCTCCTGGGGACCCAGTCTCTTAGACCAGACTAAACATCTTTGTACAACCGCCCCACAAGGGGTGTATGACTATCGTCTCTATTCAGGGAGCATTTTGGACATCTGGTAGTTCGGGATATGGAATGGATTCATGGGTCGAGATGAGGTAAGTGAACCATTAACAGTGAAAGTAAATACTTCATTCATTCTTGTCTTGGCTAGAGGAGGGGAGCCAGCGGTGAGAGAATTGTTGGCATTTTAAATGCTCTTACCGGCCTTATGTCAACTTAAGGAATCGTCCCGAATCCGAGGACGGTGGTTGTGTGCCAACTGCAAAGTGGAAGTGCAATTATGTGAGTTGTCATGACCCGCTGAGGTGGGCCAGTATGTACCAGCTGAGAAGCAGCCATGGTTTGGTTGAGACCGGACAGTGGGGGTGGGTGGGAAAACACTTACCGCTGCGGGAGCGTTAATGGGGTGCCTGGCATGGGGTGCTCATTTTCATGCTGCAACGTCGCTGAGGTGTTGTCTACTCAGCAGGGATACTGACTCTGGGGAAAATGGGTTTGTGGGAATTATAGTACCGCCCTCTCTGGAGGCCTTGTTGAAAATGCAACGTAAAACGCTCAACATGTACAAGTTTTGTGAGTGGTGCCTAGACTAGCCACTTCTAATTGTATTTACCAATTTAACTGAGTCTGTACAGCGAGTTATATTGACCGTTGCTCTAGGAACTTGATTTATCATGCTCAGGAACATCTATCAGTGCTGTTAAATAAAAGTGTAGTTAGAAGCATCAATAGCTCCATGTTAGAACACCTGGTTCAAACTGGCCACAAGGCCAATATTGAAGAGTCCTTCCCCATCATCTATAGAGTACCAAACAAATTGCCAAAATAATCCAGGTACTGCATACTCCAAACAGCAGAGGCTATTGCGATTTGCCTAAGACAACCGGTACTCTGTGTTCAGAAGAAACAGGTCCAGCCAGCGTTACTGCCCTGGCCTGCTGTGGAGTGTACAAATTCACAAATACCTTATTGCATCGTCCTCTTTTGTTTTGGCCCTCCGTCCTGTACATATAAATTCCCCTACCACTTGTCATAACATTTGCATTAACTAACCTTTTGTTTAACCTCGCCTAGATCACTAGCTCACTAGTTTTCTAGCCGGTTCCAAGCTCGGATAAAGAGGGAGGGTTAGGGCGTGGTGCTAGCAACTCCACCCCGAAAACCTAACCAAATTGCTACAGAAACTTCAACGCACAAATATATTAAAAATTCTAAAAATATAAATAATAACCTTATTTTCCTCTGGAATCGGGGAAGTGAAATGATGCAGGCTGGTAAAAGCCTTCGGGAAGCCAGTCAGCCAATGTGCCTCCTTTCGATGAAAGCAAAAATAAGGATGGGTCGTGGAATATTTGTACAATGTACGAAACTGGAAAGGCTGCTCAGGTAGCCGCAGAAATGAGAAGATATAAAATAGAAGTGTCGGAAATCTGCGAGAGCAGATGGAACGGATGTGGAAGGAGCCAACTATCAACTGGAGAGACAGTAATCTATTCTGCTCACCCAGAGGACAATCACGAGCACACCAAGGGAGTAGCCATCATGATGTCACCAACAGCAGCCAAAGATCTCGTGCAGTGGATTGAACACTCGCTGAGGAGGCCACTGGGTGACATCGCGCGTCAGGCCATAGCTCGAGTGGAACTCGAGAGGGAAGCGGCGAGTGGGACGTCCAAGGGTGACATGGAGGAGATCGCGTGAAGAGGAAATGAAACAGTAGGGATTAACATGGACGCAGGTGAAAAGTACAGCAGAAGACAGAAGCAAGTGGAGACGTGTAGTTGAAGCCCTATGTTCCACTAGGAACTCAAGGGAATAATAATAACCTTTTGTTTACGTATTTAAATGCAGTTGTTAACTTGTACACTAGCACACATACAGCGCACATAAATTTCAACCCAATAAAACCCTTTTACTCTACCCCTGTCCTTGACATGATCACTCATCCATCTGAAGTTAATAATCAATATGAATGGAACTTAATATGAACATGACTCATGAGAATTTATTATTGTACATTCGTTGTCACTCATAATCGTTTACTTTGTGAAAGACTGGTGTTCAATTTAGTATTACAATTTTACATATTACCACATACACATATATTTTGAACCTATAATCTATTAATAATCTATCTGCAAATAACTTTTGGAATTGTGATTTAAATGATTCGATGTTACTGTTTATACAAAACCACTAGTGTTGTCAATAACAATCATTGTTTCTACGAGTTTGACCACGGATTGATATCAGTTAGAGAAGCATTGAAAACCAGCCACAGAGAGTACTGGCCAGCTGTTTCATCCGCCTAGTTTTGGAATCATCCCAGTACACACCCACCACCAAGGTTAGAACCCAGGACCTTCCGGTTACAAGGCAAGTTGGCTCGTATACCATTCAGTCACTGGGACCCAAATCCTCAATGGTCAGCCCATGAATTCCGACTTCTATGAATTCGTGATTTAACGCGACTGGCACCAACCAATGTCATCGGTGGGAAATCTATCCTCACACTTGACAGGAAGGACCTCACTGATCATCTTGGCCTTGTAACCGGAAGGTCCTGAGTTCGAACCTTGGTTGATGCGTACTACCAATGATTCCCAAACTGGGATGAAACTGTTTTAAGTACTCTGGTGCCGTTTTTCAATGGTTCTCTAACTGATATTAATCCGTGGTCAAACTCGTAAAAACAGATCTAATCCTTACAAACCATCTCTTGAAAATCATTCTTTCATTATTATGGATACATAACTGTAGAGCCTAATGATGAAGTTATCGATGTGAGTATTCTTTGTTCAATAATCAGTCTTTTGAAATTTCGAATTTTTTTTTGATTATAGCTTGATTCCACAGCGTATGTTTTGGTACAGGTATGGAATTTTCAGCATGTGATATCGGTAGCCCAAATTTTGCAGGCCGACCGTAGATATCAGGTGTGCGTCGGCTGGGGATCGAATGGGCATCTTTAATCAATTAATCTACTGATGTCATTATATAGGGAGTGGTATTCATCAAAGTACCAACTATTAGCATATAAACTTGAGTTCTGCTAAAATTTATTTTGATTTAGTTGTATTCTCTGAGCTGGATTGTTTATTCGCGAAACTTTCGTCGCCCTACTAGGCAACATCTTCAGCACACACTTCAACTTAAAGTGAGCTTTTAGATTTCTTCAGTTGTGTATGCGCTGAATATATTGCCTAGTAGGGAGCAATGAAAGCTTCGCAAATAAACCAGTCAGCTAGCTCAAAGAACACAACTACATCAAAATCATCCACCCGAGCTATAAATCTCCTCCATCGTAGATAAAATTTATGCAATTAAAAACACCTAGACATGATAATAATGAAACACAAATAAACTTCGTAAGAGACAAATAAATTGAACAGGCAGCTTTGTCCTATGAGTAGGTTCGGGATCTGCACTTAGTGCGTTTTTAACTGCTTCTAAGGACATATTGTTTGGTGTATTAGTATAAAGACTAATTACATCAAAAATAAGCATTCGTTCATTATTCTCTAATTGGACGTCATTTAGTTTCTTTTTTATTTCATATGAATTAGTTAGCCTAGAGTATGAACAATTTCTTATGGGACAAAATATGAGAGCTAAGTGTTTTGCTAATTCACAAATAGGTATATATATTGCAATTAATAGTGTTCTCTGAGCTGGTTGGTTTAGTTGCGGAGATTTTGTCGTCCTTCTGGACATCATCTTCAGCGTAATATTTGGCATAAAGTGAAATGATTTAAATTTCTTCATGAATGATGTAATTGCTTCTCCTGGTAACTATCTTTACACATGTATTGAACATTTTTTATTGACTTGGATTTTAAACGTTCTGGTCACCTGATTTACTTTTATTAGCTGGTATATTTCGTCTATATTAACGTGCTTGTTAATTGCATACCTGTTTGAGTAACAGGCTTCTAGGAATTCCCTGACACTTTTGGTGTTTCCTCTGTCTAAGATTTTGACATTATCCCAATCAAATTGATGACCATAATTGTCTGTATGCATTGATAATAAAGAATACATATCATGTCTTTTCACGGCTGATTTGTGTTCTTGGATTCTGATTCGAAGGGGACGCCCACTGTGG